TCTTCTTCTTCTTCTTCTTCTTCTTCTTCTTCTTCTTCTTCTTCTTCTTCTTCTTCTTCTTCTTCTTCTTCTTCTTCCTCTTCTCCTCCTCCTCCTCCTCCTCTTTTTCTTCTTCTTCCTCTCCTCCTCCTCCTCCTCCTCCTCCTCCTTGTCGTTGTTATACTATCTTGAATTAATCTGAAGATTGGGACATGGAAATCTTGGAATCTCTGCAGAGCGAGAGACGATATTTTTCACGGTGTTGTTAGACAAAGGAAAACCCGAGCGGAGAAGACAACACTCTTTGCTGTGTCCCACATGAAACACGCACAAACGCAATTGCTCTTTTCCTTTTTCTCAAGCAGAGACACCTCTATCGCTGCACTTTAGCAGATTTTCAGATTGAGAAGAAAATTGGGCGAGGCCAATTTAGCGAGGTCTACCGGGCGACTTGTCTCCTGGACCGAAAACCGGTGGCGTTAAAAAAAGTACAGGTAAGAACGTCTGCGGGGATTCTCAAGTCATCCAGGTCGGTGGCTGTCCCAAAGGTGCTTTTTGTTTTATTTTGTTTTGTTTTTCAAAAGGCAACTGGACTCTGAAGGTGTTTCGCTTCCCATCCTAGAAGCTTTCCTCAGTTCTGACTGAATAGAAATCCTTCTGTTCCAACCGTTCATTCAGAACCGAAGAAGCTTCTTGGACGAGAAGCGAAATGTTTTTAAGAACAAACAAAAAGCTCAGTTGCCTTTGGATAAAAAGCACCTTTGGGATAAGTAAGAACCGATCCCTGGAGATTCGCCGTTGGCCACTTGGGCCGGCCTGTTCTCCTTGCCGGTTGCCGATCCTGTGACCCCAGGGGACGCTGTGACGGTCCTAAGCGTGAGGACCTGTCGTAAGTCGCTTTTTTCATCACCGTTGTAACTTCAAACAGGCCGTTGAGCAAATCACCGCACGTAGGGGACAAACCTGAGCGTGGTCCATCCACTTTCATAAAATATAGCCAGCGGAGCTCTAAAAAGGGATTTGGGCGTTAAGAGCCTTTGTTTTCCAATTAGCACGCGTTACACGCCGACGAACGCAATTTATTTTGTCAACCGAAAAGCGTAGTAATGTGATAAAACCTGCTAGGTCTTTATTTGTAAATGTTTTCTTGGTGCATTTAGCATCTTCTCGAAATTTGCAGTCAGCTATGGGTGGCAGTTCTTCGGATTTTCATGTTTTTGCTTTTTCGGGCCGAGAACTTGAGAAAGTAACAAGCTGCATGCTGTTCTTTATATTGTTCCCTAGTTGTTGTTATTTTTTTTGCTTTATTTGTGGGTGTTATTTAAGCCTGAAGAACTGCGAGAAGTGGGCGGGTTTTAAAATGAAGGGGAGTGAGAGGTTTTTGAGAACTGCGAGACTCTTGTTTTGTGTTCGTCTTTCAACCTGCAACTTCTTCCTCTTTCTGAAGATATTCGAGATGATGGACGCCAAAGCCAGACAAGATTGCATTAAAGAAATAGACCTTTTGAAGGTAAGAATCCCTCCACACTTTAATGCTCGTTGAAAGGTATTTATTTCAAACTATTTCCTGAGACGACGGAAGGAGGTTCCAGCTTCAACAGCTTTTGGCACCCATCTTTGATTTCACGCCTGTTGACGAAGCTGTTTGCAAAAATAAACAACGGTCGTTTATGATAGCTTATTTGCTCTGGCAGAGTTTGGCAAAAGAGCTGCTGATTCCTGCACGACCTGGGAGTTAATTTCAGGACGGTTAACAGAATCAGATGCCTTGGCAAACTTCCCAATCAATTCTAAAATCTAAATTCTGTTTCAGAGGCAGTCAGGATGTCAACAAAGCATTGTGCTCCTGACCTATTATTGTAAAAAGTTCAGTTGTTTTATCTGATGCCTGATTGCAGGAATCCCTCAGGAAGTGAGGTCCACTAAGGTCTAGCTCAAGGAGAGCACACACACACACACACACACACAACTTTTGTCTCGTTATTTGGCCTAAGATAACCACCGCTCCTTCCCCCCCCCAGTGGAAGCTGAAACAGACACGTATCTTCAATAGTAGAGAAGAGAGAATAGCTCAGGATTGTGTACTTCTTGGTGTTCTTGTGGAGCAGATGTTCTCCTGCAGATGTTTAGTGGCTAGGCTAGACAACCTCGTCAATGGACTGCAGGAAAGCCCACCAAGCTCAGAGCACATCAGGAACTCAACCGACCTGTAACTGTCCTGAAATGGAGAATTGGTGATTTTTCCCGCTTTTCGAAGAAGGAAACACTGCAACCTCCCATCAGCACCAGTTTCCTACTGAGGAGGGTCTAGGACAGTGATGGCGAACCTTTTAGAGACCGAGTGCCCAAAAACCGCGCCTGCCTTCCTGCAGGGCCACTTACCGCCTCCACGGCCCACCACAGCAAATCACCCAGGCGGCCTAGCAGCGCCATGGCGGCCACGCCCTCTGCCCGCGCCCCACAGCATTGTCTGCACGTGATGGGATATGAGGGCAGAGTCTTGTCCCCGCTGCCATGTCCTTGGCTGCTCTGCTCCATGTGGGCCATGCCCGGGGCGAGTCGTCCTCCGGGGGGCTGCTGGTGAGGAGGGAGCCGCAGGGCTGGCACGCATGCCATAGGTTCGCCACCACTATCTAGGACAGGGGTAGGCCACCTTGGCTCTTTTATGACTTGTGGACTTCAACTCCCAGAATTCCTGAGCCAGCATGGGGGAACTATGGCCCCTTCATGACTCGTGGACTTCAACTCCCAGAATTCCTGAGCCAGCACGGCTCAGCTTGGAAACCTCTCCCTTTCCCCTCAGCGTGGCTGGCTCAGGAATTCTGGGAGTTGAAGTCCACGAGTCATAAAAGAGCCAAGGTTGCCTACCCCTGATCTAGGACAACTCGCCACGGCCAAGTTGCCCCAGCCAACTCAACATGGCCAACTTGCCGTAGGGCAACCCTCCACGGGCAACTCATGGATCAAGAGTTACATCAATATCGAAGAAATGGTGGCATAGAATCGTTAAAAGAAAGAATGCCACAGGAGGGAACGAAATGAAAGGTGGACGACAGAGAGCAAAATAATTATTTTTTCATTACTTTCAATAATTACATCGAATGGTTGGATGGTCCCGTGGCGAGTTGAGGAGGTTGCATCTGAGCTGGCTTCCGGGAGGCGCTAAGTGGAAGGGGATGGGAAAGCGAAGGTGGCCAGATCAAAAACGGGGATGGTGGCCTGGAGCGTGACGGTGCTAATTTTCAGCCAAAGCAAGCTGCGGGGGAAGAGGCTTCCCCAGATGGCGTGGGATGGAGCTCAGCCAAGATGTCCACACCGGTTAGACTCAAGGGTGGGTGAAACCGGAGCGCTCAGGGTGACAAGGGAATCAAGATCTTCCCACCCGTGTAAGATGCCTGAAGGCAGCTACAGATCTTCCCATGTCAACCTCACCGGGAAACCAGATGTTAAGTTGTGAATATTGCATTAGCCGGGCTGTGAAGAGAAAAACGCAAGGAGATGATACGGGGATAATTAGCACGTTCCTCTCCAATGCCTCGTGCAGGATTTTTTTTTTTCTCCTCTCCACTTTTTGATTTAATTAAGGCTTCCCGCATATCTCAACCATGTCCTTGCTTGGCCAGAGTGAAGATTCTGACCTAGATCTTTGTGAACAAAAAGAGAGCTGGGCCAGGGCTGAAAATCTTACTGAAGGATTGCCTTGTTGGGTCAAGGCCGACCGAGATGAGTGGAGACAACTCAAGAGGGGATCTCAAAGGTGTTTTTTTCACGAGGCAACTGGACTTTCTTGGGGTTTCTTTCTTTCTTTCTTTTTTTTCCCCAAAAAATGTTTTAATTCTCATCCAAGAGGCTTCTTCAGCTGGATGAGAAGAGAAACGTCTTCAAAAGGAAAAGGAAAAAAAACACAAAAAAGTTTAGTTGCCTCGTGAAAAAACACCTTTGGGATAACCATAGAATAGAACAGAACAATAGAATAGAATAGAATAGAATAGAATAGAATAGAATAGAATAGAATAGAATATAGAATAGGAATTAGACTAGAATAGAATAGAATAGAATAGAATAAAGAGAGATTGGAATGGAATGGAATGGAATTGAAAATAATAGAGTAGAGTAGAGTAGAGTAGAGTAGAGTAGAGTAGAGTAGAATAGACAGTTTGTAGAATAGAATAGAATAGAGTAGAGTAGAATAGACAGATTGTAGAATAGAATAGAATAGACAGATTGTAGAATAGAATAGAATAGAATAGAATAGACAGATTGTAGAATAGAATAGAATAGAATAGAATAGAATAGAATAGAAAGTAGAGTAGAGTAGAGTAGAGCTAAAAGGGACCTTGGAGGTCTTCTAGTCCAGCCCCCTGCTCAAGCAGGAGAACCTGTTTGCTTGGGAATGAACTTGCTGGTGGTCCACGGTTTGACCCTAGAAGCATCTGAGCTTCTAGCCTGTGTGAACGTTGCCCATATTAGCTGAGGAAGGAGAGACAGTACATTCATTGAAGACATTTGGGAAATCTAGGGTGGGTGGTGGGGGGAGGTTAAGATGAAGAAAAGACACGGGGCAGGCAGTCTCTTTGGACAAACATCTTGGAGACCTCAGCATCTTGGGAACTTGGTGGTAGAGATGGTCAATCTTTATGGCAGGGGATCAATTAGATGGTTTGGTCTTCAGGTAGCTGAAATAAGATCTGGGAGGAAAACCATGAACCCGACTGTCCCAGTAAGACACCCAGTAACCCTCACCCAATTTGAAGATCCCGCAGAAGACCTCTGGAATTGCCTCCTCAGATCTTTCAGGGCTGGACAGGGGGTCCTGTCAACCAGCTTCTTTCAGCCCCTCACCCTATTTGTTAGAAAGCATTAAAGAGAGTCATCTCCTCCTTGGTCAAATCCTTACCAAGCCGTTGCTCTGAGAAGTCATACTGGGTTACAGAAGTTCCTGGGATCCATTAGTAAATTCTCCCCGTTGGGCATTTCTTTCAAATCCATCCAAGTTTCCGAAGGAAAGTCCCAATCCAACCTGACAGATTTGGGCCCGAGATGTACGTAAAGTTCCTCTTCCGAGGGGGCCAAGCAAACATCCTCAACGTCAAGCCGGGAAGCCATTTTTAACAATTGTGCGGTAAGGTCAGCGTTTTCTGATAATTTGATGCAGGTGCCGGCGTTCTTCCCATCGGGTCTCGGAGGGCAAGGCTATTTGAGGTTTTTACTCGGAGGCAAGGGAAGGTTTTTAAATGGATGGCTTGATTTGCCTGCATCAGCAACTGGACCGCTCTCTCTCTGCAGCTCCCGCGCAGCTAATAGCTTGTCAAATCAATAAACTGCAACTCATCTCTCATAACTGAAAGGCCCCCCTTGGCCAAAGTACACCTATATGCAGATTTTGCAGGTATAAATCAACCTCTGAATCAGAGATGAAGGATGGAGAGGCTTAACTTCCAGCAAAAGCTCCACGCACATTCGACGTACTCAAGACAGCCTATTTCAGTGATGGTGAACCTTTTAGAGACCGAGTGCCCAAACCGCAACCCAAAGCCCACTTATTTATCGCCGGGTGTCAGGTGGGCACGGCCCACTGGGTGGGCATGGCTGTGGTGGTCATGGCAGACTGGGTGGGTATGGCCAAGGTGGGCGTGATCACCTCGATGTTGCTCGTGGGGAGGGACGCATGTGGGGGCCAGGCAGCATTGGGGGAGATCCAGGGGGGTCTCTGGCAGATGGGGCGGTGGGCAGGAGGCTCATCCTGTGTGGTGAGGCGAGGCAGGGTGGGAGTGCCATTGTTGCAGGGCAAGGTGAGGCAGGGGCCGGGGTGGCTGCTGCCTGACACCGTTGGCCCCCGCACACAGAGGCCAGCGAGTGCATGGGGACCGACGGTGTCCGTCAACAGCCACAGCCTGCCGTGCTGGGATGCATCCGGCCACGTGGGACCTTGGCAAGTTAGCAGGCGGCTGGTTGAAGAGGGACGGTTGCCATTTCCGGGCATGGCGCACGTGCCCACAGAGAGGGCTCTGAGTGCTGCCTCTGGCACGCGTGCCATACGTTCGCCACCACTGGTATATATTTACATTGACACAAAGGTTGAGATGGCAACAAAGGGTAAGAGTTCACAACTGTCTTATTGAGCTGTAATTAGATCAGTGATAAATACCATCAGCCCCTGCACACAGAGGCCAGCGAGCGCATGGGTGCTGGGATGCATCCAGCCATGTGGGACCTCGATGAGTTAACGGGCGGCTGGTTGAAGAGGGACAGTTGCCATCTCTGGGGCATGGCGCGCGTGCCCACAGAGAGGGCTCTGAGTGCCGCCTGTGGCACCCATGCCATAGGTTCGCCACCACTGGCCTATTTCCTGCCCTACTTTGAGGCCTTCTAGAATCATGGTGGGAAAACGTCACGGGAGAAGTGAAGTTCAGAAGCTCCCTTCCCATCCAGCCTGGGGCTGATTCTTGGTGTCCATTCGGTGGACGAATTGTTCCTTGTGCTATTCTGCTCTTCGTCTTGTTTGCAAGATGCGATCCGCCGACCCAAAGCCACCTCATGTTGGTGGGTTCTAGTCTTGAGTTCGTTCTTGATGGCTTCCAGGTGCTTGAGCCACATTTCCTACCAAGATGTACAGCCGGGGTATCACCGGCCCATGGCTGATTTCATGCTCTCCCAGCCTGGACGTGGAGATGGCCCCGGGTCCATAATTTTAAGAACAATCCAGTCAACTTTGGTGGAGTTTGTTTCAACGGTGTATGTCTCGTCTGATGAAGAGAAGGATCGAGGGTGACACAGCAGTCTTCCAGTATTTGAGGGGCTGCCCCAAAGAAGAGGGGGGTCAACCTATTCTCCAAAGGACGAAAAGAAACAACGGATGGGAACTTAATCAAGGAGAGAAGCAACCTGGAATTAAGGAGACACTTCCTGACAGGGAGAACAATTAATCATTGGGATGGGTTCCCTCTGAGGTTGTGGGTGCTCCAACACTGCAAGTTTTTAAGAAGAGATTGGACAGCCATGTGCCTCGGATGACATAGTATCTCCTGCTGGAGCTGGGAGCTGGACTAGAACACCTCCAAGTTCCCTTCTGCTATGTTTTTGTCTTTCTCTCCATCTCCTGCTGTGCAACACGACGCTTCTAATTTTAGGAACCAGAGGGACAAAATTGCATCAGGCCGTGGATCCTCTCGGAGGCTGAAGATCTTCCGGGAGCAGATGTCTCATTTGAAGAAGCGCCGAAGCCTCTGAGAATACGGAACGGAGCCCATTCAGAAGCGTGGGGGGGAAAAAGGGGAAGCTGTAATCAACCGCCTGCCTATAAGCATCCGGGCTCCCATTGAGTGACTGCCTTTATTTTTGCATGCTTTTTCTCCCGAGCGCCTTCTTTGCACACAAATGAGACATTCCAAGCAGGCCATCTGATTTTTAGACAGCATTAAAAAAAGGAGGCGGCGGTTTGGTTGCCTAAACTGGTGTCACATCATGCTTCCCTGGGTCCTAAGGCAGCGGCCTGGGTAGGGAGGCCCATAGATTCGTTGCCCTTATTTTTCCTGGAGATGCTGGTAGAAGAGGGGAAGAGCAGCTGAGGGCTCTGGGGTCAGGCTGGTGGCGTAGCTCAGCTTGTTCTTGGAAAGTAGGAGCACCACAGATTTCCATCCCCATGGCCCTTGGAGGCAGTGAACGGAGAAATGCCAAACAGCATAAAATAATAGCAATCTTCTTCTTCTTCTTCTTCTTCTTCTTCTTCTTCTTCTTCTTCTTCTTCTTCTTCTTCTTCTTCTTCTTCTTCTTCTTCTTCTTCTTCTTCTTCTTCTTCTTCTTCTTCTTCTTCTTCT